TATTGACCGGGCAGCACATTATACAGAGAGTGGATTTAATGGAAGATGCCGGAAGAAGTATGAATCCAGAATTGGATCTGGGTCAAATAGAGGGTGCTTTCGTGATGGGACTCGGATTTTGGACATCCGAAGATCTAATTTATGATCCAAAAACTGGACAGTTGACGAATTACAGAACTTGGGTTTGTAATTAGATTATTTTTCACATAATATACGTGTTTAGAAACAATTTTTGTGACTGTTTTCTTTTTGCAGAATTACAAACCACCTGGAGCGAAAGATATTCCCGTTGATTTTCGTGTCTACTTCCGTCGAAATGCTCCTAATCCATTGAGCGTTCTTCGTTCAAAAGGTAGGATGTTTCTTAGAACAATTAAAAGAAAGGTGCTTATCAACGTTTAATCTGTATATGTATGTATACGGTTATTTATTAAATATTATAGCTACTGGTGAACCGCCATTATGCATGAGTTGTGTAATACCTATTGCAATCCGTAACGCGCTCAATTCAGCAAGAAAAGATGCTGGAGATAGTAATCCATGGTTTCAACTTGGTATATTTAAAAAAAAATTATTAAAAAATCTTAAAAACTTCACGAATGTGTGAAAATAAACTGTTTTTTATCTTGTAGATGGTCCAGTCACTACGGAGAAGATTTTGTTAACCAGCTTGACTTGCAAAAAACAAATGGTATTTTAAAATCAAACATCATTGTTTCAAATAAAACCTAATTTTATTATTGCATATTTATTCTGAACCTATAATTCATTCCTAGTTACATTTTATTTACAAATCATTTACTATCGATTAATTTGAATAATTTCAAATTAGTTCAAATTCCCGCTAAATTTAACGTATAAAAATTTTAGCAAGAATTTACCCACAATCCTCTGCTGCTGTACAGTGGTGTATCTATTTGTATAAAAACATGTTCAAAAATTAATTTGATAAAACAATTTCCTAAGATCCATTGTCTGCAAAATTTTTACCTAAATATAAAGCCTGATAACAACAAATTCCGTCATCTGCAATTTTAAGAGATTTTTATTGTATTTTAAATAATTTTGAGTGAATTAAAAATTTGTTGCTTGTGGATCGTGATGATACGGCACTATAACAAAGCTGCGCAGTAGAAGATTTTGAGTAACTCGCGCATTACCCCTTGGTTTCGCGTCAGTTGTTGCGCGGTGACCATGATGTACGGTTCGTAATTGTCGTTCTCCGCCGCGATAAAACAATTTGTGCGGTTTTTACTAAATAAATCAGTGTACAGTGACAATATTTATTTCTTTGTGTAGAAATACTGCAGTGTATCATAAAAAAACGAGCAGAGTACATGCTGTGGCGATGGAAACATTCATGGAACGGTATCGGTGAGTGACGCTATATCCTTAATAAGCAGTTTTATGTCATTCAAATATAACTTTTTTCCGATATTAACTATTCTGAGCTTAAGAAGAGTAGGAAATTCGAGCTGTTAACACATTTTTATATGGATAACTTGTCTTTTTTTCCATCTTAATTTTCCTAGCATACGTTCAAAATGTATAGTGTCCGCCATTTTGTCCCGCGCACATTCAGTGGCGGTTGAAAAATTTGAATGCAATTCTGTAGCATGTTCTTCCAATATAAATTGCTATTAATTGTTAATGTGCCAATAATTTTTGTATTTTCAAGTATATAATGACATTTTAAACAAATTTATTTAGAATAATAACGGTATGGAGAAAATGGTGAAGCATATAACTTTGAACTACATAAATGAATTTTATTACATAATTATGGTAATACACTGTAGCTGATTAATTGAATGATACCAATTTTTTATTGCAAGAAATCGTAAGTTCTGAACATTGCAATTATAAAGTATTTTTTCAAATAATCAGATTTCGTGATCAGTGGTACGGTGAGAAAATTGATGTAATTACACGTACACGATGATTGAGGAGAAATCGCGTGGTGTGTCGTTGGTAGGGTTTCGTTTTACACAGTGGGTCACACAGGCCTGTGGGGCATTCGTTCCTTGCACTTTTATTCTCCGTACACTTGGTTATTTTTAAACATTCGTTCATCACGCACCCAGTCTTTGATCCGACGGTTACTAGGCTTCGTCAAAGCGATTTTCCCGCTGATACCACGCTCGATCGAAATCTGACTATCTCATCTTGTCGCGTATAAAAGGTATCAATAATGAGGATCAGATTGGTGTTCAGTCTGTAGGAATTAGCCTAACTCGCTTAACACCAAAACGGAGAGTTAATCTACTTATTGAAATTTATTATTTAAAAAAAAGGAAATGTGTAGGAGAATTAATGTGTACATTTGGACATTATTATTTCATACACATTTGAAAAAAGTTAGATCGTTTAAAATTGTCGGCAACTCGAAATCTTTATTACCGACCGCGACGCGCGCGGCTAGTTAATAGTTTGAGCGTTTTCCCGTCATGTGGCGCCACGTGTATGTTGCGAAAATTTCGCGTAGCCGACGATTTCTGGCGCCCTTCTAACCTTTCATAGAATCAAATGACATTTAGACGCATTTTTATATCACAGAAGGTTGAACTGATATGAAACGAGAAATATATTTCTTTTCCTATCCCCAGATAAAAAATATCCAATTAAATTCTATGAAAACTAATATTTCCTTGCCGAATAAAATTTCATGACGCAACTGCGTGCATTAGCGTTTGACGTCACGGTGTTGTTAGTCGGTAATAAAGTAAAATTAATTGTATTAATTGTCCGCAATAAAATTAATTTTCTCATAACTGAGCGTTGCGTCGAAATTAGTGGTAAAACAATAGCAAATGTGCACGTTAACAAGAGCGCGTGACGTCGTTTAGATGGAAACCTGTTTGAACTGGAATGAGCGATGATAGCGTATCACCTTTTTTTTTTGTTTTTTTGTTTTTCTTTTTTTTTTTTCAATTTAACTTTACAAGCATTTTTTAACCTCCTTTTCTGAATTAGTTAATGACGCGATTGTGGTTTTACTTGTTGAGAATGTTGAAACATATTCAAACACATATAATATTTTATTTTTGAAAAATGTTGCTTTGGCGAGAGACGTTCAATTACAGAGGAATCAATTGGTGGATAACGTAGTGTTACGTATAATTTATAGCCGAATGCGTTCGCTGTAAATTCTGAAAATATGGTCTAGGGAGGGGATTTCGTGAAATTTTCTTGGCAGAAAGTATTTTGAGGTTTTGGAAGCTCGTTTGAGCACGCGCAATACGTATTCCGCAGAGGTAATCAAAGATCAGTGTTCTTAATGCGGTGAACCGACTTATTCCCTTTAAACTCTGACTAAATTTTATCTTAATTATCATAACGCATTGTTACTCGCACAGCAACAATACGACTTTCTAATTATTCTCTAGAAACAAACAAGTTTATTTCCATAGTTCATATTTTGATACAGGAAATAAATCAGAACAATATGTATAATCAACATGTAAATGGATTTAATGAAAAATGTGCCAGAAGTTGTTCATTAAAATGATCATATATAGGTCAGGGAGAGAACTTAATCGCGTGATCTTCGCATTATTTTCTCTGTGACGTTGAAATTCCTCGAATCTGGTCGTCCTAGAAGCATCAAGAGTTATTAAGAAATATCTGAATCGTATACGATCTTATGCCGAAAGGTTTTTAAGGTTTTTGACGTCTCCTCGAGTGTGCGCATTGTATATAAAAAGGTGGCGGGGGGGTATTTGATAGACGACGATAAGAGAGAAAAAAAGATTGATATACAATGCTTTCAAGTATATTTTGACGATTAATATCGATATAGCGTAAAATAATTGAAACAGCTCGTGGTATGTAATGCTAAAGATGACGAAACTGTATAAAATAGTGGAATAAAGAGGGAAGAAAGGAAAAATAGTGCAAAGAGGAAGGAAGGTGATAGAAAACGGGGGTAGTGTGTTAGAGGGTTGGGCGGTCGAGGTGCGAATAGCGCGCATGCGCGCAGATTCGGAATGTCTCGAATAGTTTCGAGACGGCAGTCGAACGGAGACCGTAGTATCGTGCAGACGGGGGTGATTTTCACCGAGTTTGTGCGCACGAAGAACCTTTAACCTTTCCCTGTCTCGCGCGCACTCTTTATCCGTTTCTTCTCTCTTTCTCTCTGTCTCTCTATCTTTATTTCACACATTACACCGATGCAATAGCAAATCAAACATACAAGTACGTACTTGGACGTTGAGAAGGTTAGAAGGAAACCGAAAAGTACACGCGTTAAATGTACATTTGAAAATAAGAAAACATACATTTGGTATACATATAGAAGAGGAGAGAAAGAGGAATGGAATATCCGATATACAGGCTTCGTACGTAACGGACGAACGGACACGAGGCCACGGACATATCTGTGAAACGGAAGACACGCTCGCGTGCGCGCGCATGCAAAACGAGGCTCGTCGATGCGCGGATGTCGTGTGGCTGACTGGTCGCTGATAACATGCGTTACGTCCGGGTCAGCCAGTCTCTATGAAAAGGGGCATCAAAGAAAAAGCCTCGGCTCGTTTTGATAATCGCATTTCACGCGGTATCGTATTTGATATATGTATATTACTTAAAATTCTAAACGGTGTCTACCCCTATCCGTCTATACGACACTCCCTCTTGTTGTCGGTCCGTTTTCAACGGTGTATCGTAAAGTTGGTTAAAAATTGTATATAGATAGAGGTGCGCACGCGGTCGGCGAAGGATGCGAAACGATCTCGCCGCTTCTAAAGATATCGAGTTGTCTGCACCGTAGAGAGGCGATAAACCGAGTGTGCTCTCGGGGTTATAGGTATTCGTCGAGTTGCGCGAGAGCGGCGGGAAGGGCGGGCAAGAGGGTGAAGTGATTTTCCAACGGTCGTCGGCATAGTAGTGCATGCGCGGCGCGTCGCGACGCGGCGCCTCGCGGAGAAAGAGTAAGAAGTAGTGATTTCGTCCTCTCCTAGGTTTCTTCCCGTGCGTTTCCTCTCGTAGACGTCGCTGCACCATTCATACGCGTTCCCTCGAGCCCGTCGACCAAGTCCTTTTCTCGCACAAATTTTCCCCCCCGTTCCTTCTTTATTCCTCGCGATTCTACCACCACCACCACCACCACCACCGACGACACCAACCACCACCATCGCACCGTTAACCCCTCTCTTTTCCCCTTCGGGTGCTCTGTCGTATCTTTTCACTCCTGTTGTCTGGATTCTCAGTACGTTTTCTCGGTGTCGTCCCGGCGGCGATCTCGGTTCGAACGAAACCTCTGGGGGCCGCGTATATTTTTGTGCGTTGCGCAGGGTCTCGTTCGATCGCACGCGCGAAACGAAACAACAGAGCCCGACCGAAGTTTCTCTTTCGAAATCTCTCTCCGTTGCTTTTCTTTTTTTTCCCCTCCCCTCACCGCATCTTGTAGATCTCGAAACGACGCGCGTGATATCCGGGGAATCGTGTTTCCTTTTTTCGATTTTCTTTCTTTTTTTTCGTTTTTTTTCACCTCCTATTCCTTTTCGACGATCTTTCATCGCGGTCGTGATCGTCCAGGCAGCAGCGGCGACAAGCGGCAACCGCCCGCAACACCGAACGGAACGGGCGTCCGTGACACGATCCAGGGAATCGAGCGATTCCGTTGTTCGTGGTTGCAAATACGACGAGTGGTCCGAAAGCGCGAATAAATGTGTCGGTCACGGTACAAGACGTGAAGCGGGGGCATACACGGCAAGTGAGTATATTTTTAGTGGCAAGCGCCAAGCGCTAAGCAGAGTGGTATAAACGGGGCGCGCAGTGGCCTGATGAAGCGGCGTATGTGACATCAAATTTCTCTCTCTTGCCACCTCGAAGACACCGAGACATCTTGCAGACCATCCCGCGGTGAGTATTGCCGAAAGCGTCGCCGATTGCGTCGCCGATTGCGTCGCCGATTGATTCGCCATTCGGTACTCGGGAACAGAGACACCAACTTCCCCTCCCCTCCGAATCTCCGCAGGCTCCCTCTCACCCCCCAGAGACGAACCGATTTACCCTCGACTCTCTCCATCTACACACGCACGTGAATCTCTTCACGTCTCTCTATATGTGTTTCTATTTACGATCCCATCCTCCCCCTCTTTCTCTACATACATCTTCTCGTACACGCCTACGTCCTCTCTCTCTCTCTCTCTCTCTCTCTTTAGTACAGGCACGCACACGACGTTTTACCCCATCGTTGCGGGAGCGGAGCAACCCTCCGGTTCGCCAGGAGATATCATCGATGCGAGGCGCGATAGTGACATTAGGAAAATTATGTAACCGACCGCTCGATCCGTCGGCATGGGCGCACACGCCGCCTCCTCTCTCGTCCTTCGTTTCTTCCTCTTGTACCTACCCCCCGGAGCCCTGTTTTGCCCTCCTCTCTTTCCCGATCGCCTTCCCCCTACCATCGTCTCACTGATCGCGGTTGAACATTATTTCGGGAGTGCCAGCCAGCCTGCCAGACCTCGACAGAGACAGCGAGATGGAGAGAGAGAGAGAGAGAGAGAGAGGAGACTGGCTCTCCTTGTACGCTCTCTCCTATACCTCGTGTCCCGGGATCGGGCAGGCGCATTATCGAGGCAGTCCGCGCGCAGCTTTTCCTCTCCCGCATTGTTGCGTGCCTGCCTTTTCCTCTTCTTCCTACCTATACCACCCTTCTTCCCATCCAGAGAATTCGCCGCGATCCTGCCGCCAGATGGGCGTGTACGCGCCGAGATAATATATCTTCCACGGTATTTAGGGAATAATATAGAGCGCCCCTTTGAAATTCGACCATTCGCGTTTCCGCCTTTTCTTCAAAGACAAACACTCTATCTCGATGTCTACGTATATATACACACCGTATACACTTTGGGCTTCCCTTAATTAACCGTTCACTTGTTTGCCCCTGTCCTTTACGCGGCCAGGATTAGAACCTCCGTCAGCTGTACTCATATTTTATCGCATTCCTCCTCGTTCTTCCTCGTTCTCGTCTAGTTACGTAAGGATAGACGGATGAGGAAATAATGTTGCGCGGTAAATCTTGCTGGTTGGTAAACGAAATCGAAATCGAAGAAGGCTTGAGTTACAATGAAAACGTGGTAAACGCGGACTGTGTTTAGCGGTGGTTTATCGTTTCTTGTGTACTCGATTCGAACAAACCTCCAGAATTTATCGACGGTCTCTGTTTTCAGAGGCACGTTTCAGCTTTTTATTCCTTTGCTGTTTACAGCCCATGGTCGCTAGTCAAAGGATGAAACGGTTAACTTTGACGATCTAAGGCCGTTGACTATTGTGATGGAAGGTTGGACCGACGGAGGAGAGGTCTCTCTATCTGGTCCGCGTCTGGCGCTCAGTGGAAAGGGTCGCGATTAGTCAGACTCGAGTAGTCTCCGGTCCCTTTTAACTCAGCCATTCTCATCGAAATAATCGTGCATAAACTTCCTATCCCTTCCACGTTGTCTTGATGCCCCTTCTCCCCCGACTAGTAGTCACGGGCGCACGCTTCTGCTCCCCGATTCGCTTTGTCCTGAAATACATCGAAGCCTCGGCTCTCTCTCTCTCTCTCTCTCGCGCCCGCTTTCCGTCCTCGTCTTTGTCCTGCTTTCATAGTATCGACCCAATACGGTTGACCTAGACTCACTTGCAAGGAAGCGTACTCAACCTTTGACACTTACTCGCGCTGACGAAACCGGCCGCGATCGATAACCCGTCAAAACTAATTACGTACGTGAAAATCGCTTTGCCTGGGGGTTCGCTTCTTCTCTCCTTTACGTATATCTTTGCTCTTAATAATCATCTCTCTTCTATATTCTATACCACGCACTTGATAATTCTTTTTGTAAGAGCACGCATGGGTAGTTTCAACGATATCTGGAACACGGTTTTCGCTAATGCCAGCTATATTCTATCGGTAAATTGTTATTGGAGCAACTACTAGCCTGCACGCTGAGAGATGCCAGTATGCGTGTAGCGTGGGCGGGATATTTATACGATAAATAGAGAAGAATGAGTTGCGAGAGGGAAGGTTGTTTTTAGGGGCTGCTTCGATGTTCGCCGAAGCTTCTTTTGCCGCATGCCTTTTCGATGAAAGGTTAAACGGGTAGCCATGAGTATATCGACCTATCGACCTATATTAACGACCAAGTACAAGCACGAGCGTGGAAAGGAATATTACAGTAGCGCGGATTGTTGTACGCGAAGTCGCCCCTAACGCCGGCCGCTTGCCCGCGGCCTTACACGCCCTAGCCACAGCCCTGTTCGTCTATCAGGGCTGTAACTAGGAGAAGAAAAAAAAAAAAAAAAGTAATAGCCAGGGGGTTCTTTTTTAATCTTTACGACATTAAGACGTATAAAGGAGATGAAACAGTTGTTATATTTTTAGCAGATTTATCGTTTCCTGCGAACGGTGTTTTAAGAACGAAGCAATAAACGAAAAAACGGGTTGCAGGATTTTTTATAAAGCGGTTTCACGACGATACGATTCCTCGTTAACGGACAAATACCGCACTATTTTCAGCGATTTTATCGTTCCTCGAATTTATCACACTTTTTTTTTTCTTTTCTTTTCTTTTATTTCTCCTTCGATCTTGTTTTCTCTCGCAAATAACGCGGATTGTGTCTCGACAGTCGCGATTCCGTTAAGGTCACTTTCCTTCCCTGCTATTCGTCGAAAGGGATTTCATCGAGGGAAACGATCCCCTCGAGGAGAACTTGCTGCCGGTTCGAACAAATGTCTGTCGATTCCGTCGCCGGTACTTCTTTCCCCTTACCCTCCTTCGATCTTAGCATACATACGTTACGTTACGTTATTGGGCTATCTCTCGTCTCGATGGATTTAGGGAATATTGAAAATATAAAGCTCAGGATTCTTATTGCAACTTTTACCATTTATATTTTCAATCAAAATTTTATTGGTGCCTTGTTTTTTTTTTTTTCAAATAAAATGTAACAAATGGGAGGGTCAGACTTTTCTGTCAATTAATTTTTAAAAAGCGCGGGAAAATATTCAAGCCGAATTTGCAAGTACATTTAATGTATTCGTTCTCGTTTCTCCGCTCCTTCCTGTGTAACGTACCATATATATATATTTTTTTTTTATTTTGCTTTGAGTTATTGCCGTTAGAAGGGTGAAAAATGGTTTCACAGTTCCGTGGTCCGGATTGCCCGAGCCCTGTAATTACTTGAGATTCGATCGTGCCCGGGCCACGTGCCGCGAATTTATCGACCCCATGATATACACTTCTTGGTGAAAACTTGACCAGGAAGTATGCGTGTAGTTTCCACGAGGCAGACACCGCTATATGTATCTACCGTGTGGCTGGTACGCATCATAGTGGATTAAAAATAACTAGACACGTGTGTGGGACTAGCCGAGCGTGCGCGGTGTCCAGAAATAAAGCAACGGGCCGACGATTAACTTTTTCGAGGCGAAACTTTGCCGCTGGTTAATGCATCGTTATACCCGCCACCCGTCTATACTCCTTTTACTCTTCCTTGCGTATCCTCGTTGACAGATATATCGTTATCTTTCTGTTAACAGGATGCCTCCTTAGTTTATTTTAACCAGCGCTCTTCTACCTTTTTCATTTTTTTCATCCAATTCGCTACTGTAATACTAATCTCGAAGACGTCAATTATAATCGATTATTTTTAGATGGAAAAAATAATAGGTTTTCCACTTTTCCAGGAGCGTATAACGACGCCGAGAGCCGCGAGTCCTTTGCTCTTATTCGAAACTTTTCTATTTGTAAGTTTGCGCGTGCCACCGACAGTTATCGTGTCGGTACACCGGATTCTCTATTTTTCATATTTCTTCGCCTTCGAATCTCCGATCGTAAAACTTGTCGCCGTTGAAATGGGTCAAAGACGATGCCACGGGAATTATTCCAAATTTCTATAACCTACCTACAGCCCTCTATAAATTCGTTCTACGATTCTTTCTCGTTTATTTTCCCTCCCTCGGGTCGTTCTTTGTTACTATGTTCGTGAGATTAGCGAAACGAGGAAAAGAATTAGCTTAATTTATTTTTATTGACCGTCAGGCGATAACGAGAAACAGATAGGAAAAGGCTCGTTTGTGTGTTCCATTCCAGTCTAGATGAGCGTTAAATTCTGATTGACCGACACAGTCATCTGGAATAGCAAACACCGAATGATTCACCGCGACAAAGCGTTCGTGATCGAGGATCGTTAGAGAAAAAGGTCGTCGTTAGACGTGATAAAAGTTGGTCGGTAACGAACTACTGAATATCATTTGATAACGTGACTCGTAATGGGCTCCGAAATAATTGAACGAAGGCTAATGCAACATCTTTTGAATCAGTTGGGAATTGTGTACGAATAAGTGTATGGGTTATGTAATGTACAAATATGTCTGACCTATCACAGTTTCGTACTACTAGGATTTGATAGGAATATTAACAGCGATTTAGAGACAAAATTGTACAATTTTTAATTATGTAAAGTACGAATAACAAAGTAAATGGTTAATTGAAATGTTCCCGCGTAGCGGTGGTCCCCCGCAGGCCTATATAAAGGGGCCTGCTGCCCTGCATCGTCAGTCTCCTCCCGACCGCCAACAGGGTGGGACGGAGGAGATCTACCATCCTCGATACCACCGTGTATTATTTTATTATTCGAATATAGCGCAGACGAAAAATTGCGGAATGCTAGGAACGAAAAAGTATCGGTCAGTCAGTCGGTGCCAAAAAGATATCTCCTCGTCGACTCACTGTCTCGTCTGCTGATACTTTGGCAATACTCTCGCGAGCGCGCAGACACTTGACGCGACTGTCTGCCAAGTTTTTTGATTGGCGTAAATTATTGTAATCTTTCAATGTTTATACATCGTCGCTGGAATAAACTGTGCACGAGGCTCG